ACATCACTTCAATTCCCCCCACAGTGTCTCCTTGATGATCCAGAGGGTCCCTTCCAGCTCTGCCGTTCTAAGATGTTTCTCTCTATTCCGTTTCTTTCCTAGTTTCTGCCTGTTCTGATGGATTCTCTGCCACTCAAGGTCCTGCGCAGGAAAGATAACATTTGGCCAAGCCGTTCTAATCCTATGTAGTGCTGTGTTTCTCCCAGGGAAAAAAACATTACCATGAAACACCTGACAATCTTATGAGATTTCTCAGGGTGTGAGGGTGGGGAGAACATGTGTGTTAGGATCTGGTCCACACTGCCCTGGCAGCGGCAGGATCAGGGCCATCCTGACCCAGGAATGGCCTGGTGTTTGCAGACTCAGGCCCTGGCCTATGTGGCAGCTGCTGGGCCACTCATGAGGCTCACCTGGAAACCTGGAGGGAAGGCCTACTTAAGGAGTGGTTCTCCCTCCCAGAACTTGTCCCAGCAAACAAAGGTCTTTGGTAGTGCTGTCTGCCTTGTTGTTCATAAGCTCTAGAGTCCCTGTGTTCCAGTATTCCTGCATCTGTTCCTGCTTTGACCCCTGCTCTTGCCTCCTACATCTCGGTGCCTTGTTCCAGCTCTCTGTTTGCAGCCTTGTGCTCCCATCTCTGCTTGGTCATGACCACCTGTGCAGTGAGTGCCTTTGGACTTAATACTCTATGTGGTGGTTGGGGGTCCTGGTGCTGGTGAGGGGCTGCCTGAGATCTCTTGAATGGTGACAATGTTTACAGAGAAACTTCTCTCCCAGGAGAAAGAGAGGCTTTGTTTTCCCTACCCAAAGAGGAAAGCTACAAGATTCACACCCCTGTGCCATACATCTAGATGCTTTGTCACACTTATCTTGATGAACCGCCCACAAAATTTCATTAGGAAGGAGTTCTCTCTATTGCAGATTATCTGCCAAGAGCATAGCTAGAAAGACACAGGGAATGCTTTGCAATATCTTAAAAGGGTGGCAATAGTCATGTTTTATTTTCTGGCCAATCTAGGCAACGAATGATGGCCAAGTCCCTTCATTCTGCCAATATCAGAATTTCGTGTTGGCATTTTTGTCTGATGTATTTGCAAGGGAAGCAAAAATGGAAAGGGTTAGGCTCCTCAGTTTGGAAGCAAAGTGAATAAAGATGTCACATGAAATGGGATGATATCGTGAAGAACTTAACAATAATACTGTATTCAGTGGAATAGGACAAGATAAAAAGTGCTGCCTGGATTCATTCAGCGGCAGTATCAGGCACTAAGCTGGCTCATCAACCCTTTTGGGGGAAGGGTTTACTCCCATAATTTAGGAGGAGAGATATCAGGGTGTAAAAAGAGCTGGTGGAGATCTCTGGCTGTCAGGATTTGCGGCCACGTTGACCGGATAATTTTACACCAGTTTTAACTCAATGCTGTGACTTTTCTTGGAGTCGGGGTGAGAAAGGAGTGGACTTCTAGATGCTCCTGTTGATAGCCTTCATTTAGCCAAGGATAGGGGAGCATGGGAGTTGTAGTCTAACAGCTTCTAGAAGGCTATGTATCCCCAGACACACACACACACCTGCCCCTCTCCATAGCTTAGCAAAAAAAAATTCTTGTGGATTATGATTTCCAGTTCAACCCTTTGAGCACATTTTAGGGACTTGGAATCAGAAATTTATGAGGCTCCTTTCAGCCTTGTGGCTACATGAATGTTCCACAGATATTACCTTTAAAGGGGGACAATTTGTCTGTCTGGGAAAATTAGATGCATGACATGAGAAAGCATAGAATCATGAAGTTGGAAGGAGTTTATATGATCTTTGAGTCCACTCCCTTGCTCAATGCAGGAATACAGATCAAAGGATATCTGCCAGGTGGTTGTCTATGTTTCTCTTGAATGCCTCCAGTATTGGAGCACTCACCACCTCCCGAGGTCATGGGTTCCATCATCATACTGCTCTAACAGTTACAAAGTTTTTCCTGATATTCAGCCGACATTTGGCTTCCTGTAATTTGAACCCATTGTCCTGCACTTTGGGATGATTAAGAATAGATCCTGCCCCTCCTCTGTAGGACAGACTTTCAACTATCTGAGAAGTGTGATCATATTACTCCTCTGTCTTCTTTTCTCAAGGCTAAACATGCCCAGTTCTTTCAGCCTTTCCTCGCAAGGCTTGGCTTCCAGACCCCTCCCTGTTAATCCTTGTTGCCTTCCTCTGAAGTTGTTAGTTTGTCAGCATCCTCCTTGAAGCATCCAGAACCAGACACAGTACTCTGGGTGAGGCCTAACCAGCGCTGAACGGAGGGGAACTAGTACAGTGGACCCTCGACTTACAGACGGCTCGACTTACAGACTTTTCAAGTTACAGACTTCTCTGGCTGCAAAATTTAGATTCGACTTGCAGCCAGAGAATCGACTTACAGACCAGAAAAAAACCAAAATGGAATAAAAATAGAATAAAAACCACTGGTTATGGGATTAATCGGTTTTCAGTGCATTGTAGGTCAATGGAGATTCAACTTACAGACTTTTCGACTTGCAGCCACCATTCCAATACGGATTAATTCCTTAAGTAGAGGGTCCACTGTACCTCAGAGGATCTGGAGACAATACTTCTGTTGAATGCCTCCAGGAATAGCATATGCCTCTTTTGTAGCCACAACACACTGTTATCTTCATATTCACATTGTGATCTATGATGATTCCAATATCTTTTTCACTTGTAGTATTGCTGAGCCAGGTACCCCCCCCCCAACTTGTAACTGTGTTTGGTTTCTTTTTCCTACATGCAGTACTTTGCGCTTATCCCTGTTGAATTTCATTCTGTTGTTTTCAGCCCGGTGCTCAAGCCTATCCAGATCATTTTGAATTTTGTTTCTGTCTTCCAGGGTATTAGCTATTCCACCCAATTTTGTGTCATCTGTAAATCTAATTAATGGATCCAGGCCATTAATTACAATATTGAAGAGCCCTGGGGTACCCCACTTCTTTCCTCCTCCCAGTTTGAGAAGGACCCATTAATCATCACCCCCTGAGTATGATTCTGTAGCCAACTGTGTATCCACATGACAATTGATCTATCCATCCGACATGTAGTTAACTTGCTAATCAGAATATCATGGAGCACTTTGTTAAAAGCTTTGCTGAAGTCAAGATATACCATGTCTAAAACATTCCCTCTGTCTATCAGGGAGGTTATCCAATCAAAAAAAATGACATCAGATTAGTCAAGTGTTCTTGACAAATCTATGTTGATATCTAGTTATTACTGCATTGTTTTCTAAGTGTTTGCATAGTGACTGCGTAATACAGTGGTGCCTTGCTAGACGATGATAATCCATTCCATTGAAATTGCTGTTTAGCGAAATCATCGTCTAGCAAAAAGCAAATCATCATCTAGCAGAAATTAGGTAGTGAAGCAGGGACCAAATATTGTCCAGCGAAATTCCCCCATAGGAATCACTGTTTTGTGAATCGCTATAGCGATCGCAAAAAGTCAATGTCTAGCAAAAAACTGTCATGCGGGGTAACTGTCTAGCGAGGCACCACTGTAATTTGTTCCAGAATTTCCCCTGGGATTGATGTCAGGTTGACTGGTCTGTAGTTCCTAGGTTCCTCCTTTCCCCCCCTTTTTGAAGATAGGGACAACATGCCTCTGAAGCAGTGGATTGCAGTCCACAAAAGCTCACACTGAAATAATAACTGTTAGCCTCAAAGGTGTTGTGGTGCTTTTGTTTCAGTGTTCTAGTTGTTGAGAAAGCACAGTCAATTGAATAAAGATGAGGCCTAACTGGATGGTGGTAGGGAGAAAGACGAGAGATGAACAAGTTACCAAATTCTCTTGCTTCCTTCACACAAGTGGCAAGAGGGAACATCAAGCCACTTGCCCATCGTCTGGTCAAGACACGACAATAATCCATCTCAGTATGCAAAGGGAGGCAAAGACAACTCCCATCATTCCCAGCTGTTGGTTTTTTTAGGCTGGAGTTTCATGGGAAAAGACAACTCCCATCATTCCCAGCTGTTGAGTTTTTTAGGCTGGAGTTTCATGGGAATTGTTGGCTGGATAGCTCAGTGGTTTAGGCCAGAGTTTGGGAGTTTGATTCCCCACTGCGCTTCCTAGGAAAAGAGCCAGCCTATGTGGCCTTGGGCAACCTGCACAGTCCCAGGGTGCCCCCTAGAGGAAGGGAATAGTAAACAACTTCTGAGCACTCACTACCTTGAAAACCCTAGAAAGGGTCACTAGAAGTCAGAATGGGCTTGACAGCACACTATCATCACCATCACAATGGAAATGGTAGTCCAAGGTAGGTTGATTCTTACACACACACACACACACACACACACCTACCTGCTGACACACCCTTGTCTGAGAAGAGGAAATATCTTTCAGCCACCACAGAACAAAAGGCGAGAGAAAGGAAACAAATTCTGAGCGTATTTACCTACCAAATCCAGCGGACAGAAAGGAGGAGCTGTTTGGCAGGAAATCTGCTTGTAAGTCTACAGCTTTTTATTAAAAACTCACACTGAGTTATGTATTCTCCTAAATATTATTTTGGGTGTTAAGCATGCTTCTTCTGGAAGCACACTTAAATATAAGTTGGTTTACCTAATAATGCCATAATACCGATTGGTCTACTTTAAGACTAACGTAGCATTGAAGACAGCAGCTTTTATTATGTAGAGGAAAAATATCCTGTGTAATCACTGGAGATACATTCATTTGTTAGGTTCTTTGGAAGCGTTCTTCCTGTCTTGACCATCTAGCCAGGAATTGGGGTTGAAGAGGAAGTTACTCATTCATCATCTTGTTTTGGATATCCTGTGTATTTATACAGCCAGGATCTGCGTGAAGAAAATTTCTCTCTCTTCCTCCTTTCCTCTCCCTCTCTCTCAATCTCAACACACAGAAACACACCTAAGTAACCTTCTGGACTAGTATTACATTAAAAGAGAGAAGAAATGACTTCTTTGTTCTGAGATCCATCTGGAGACTTGGGAATCTCATCCCGTTGTGCAGCTCACTTTTGACTCACCACCCTGTGATTTCTGCTTGAATTTGCCATTTTTTAAAGGTCCGAGTATTACATTAAAAGAGAGAAGAAATGACTATCTTGTTCTAAGATCCATCTGGAGACTCGGGAATCTCATCCTGTTGTGCAGCTCAGTTTTGACTCGCCACCCTGTGATTTCTGCTTGAATTCGCCATTTTTTAAAGGTCCGATTTCACAATTTCCATTTTTTTAAGGCATATACCTGAGATGATCTTGGTACAGTACAAATGCAACACCTTGGTTCTAGAAATGTACCACGTGGGCATTCTCAAAATGGAGCTGTATCGGACTGTTATTGCTCCCTGCATTTCGGAGCTTGGAAAATATAGCCTTTTGGACTACAGTTCCCAGAATCCCCAAGCTAGCACAGCCATCAGGATTCTGAGAGCTGCAATCCACAAAACATGTATCTCCAAACTCTGTTGTACTTAAAGGGTTTCCTTCAGGTACACAAGTCTTCTTGGCTAGCACAGCCATCAGGATTCTGAGAGCTGCAATCCACAAAACATGTGTCTCCAAACTCTGTTGTACTGAAAAGGACAATCTGGGTTTCCTTAAGGTACACAAGTCTTCTTGACTGTGGGCAACTCTACACTGTAGGACTACAACTCCCA